GATCATTCGATATCACGCATCGAATGATGCATCGAGAATGTTCGATGCGTTAATCGGAATGATTCGATTGCGTTGAATCGACTGAATTCGATGCGTGAATCGAATGATTCGATGCGTGAATCGAATGATTCGATGCATCATTGCGATTCACGCATCGAATCATTCGATCACGCATCGAATTCATTCGAGTCACGCATGCGAATCAATTCGATTCACGCATCGAATCATTCGATGGCATCATATCGAGCGGAATCGAATGATTCGATGCGTGAATCGAATGATTCGATGCGTGAAATCGAATTCGATTCCGATGCGGAATCGAAAATGATTCGATGCATCATTCGCATTCACCATCGAATGCATTCGATTCACGCATCGAATCATTCGATTCACGGCATCGATCAGTCGATCATCATTCGATGCGGTGAATCGAATGATTCGATGCGTGAAATCGGGAACTGATTCGATGTGTGAATCGAATGATTCGATGCATGCATTCGATTCAGCGCATCGAATCAATCGATTCAACGCATCGACAAGTCATTCGATTCACGCATCCGCCAATGATCGATGCATCATACGATCGTGAATCGAATGATTCATGCGTGAATCGAATCATTCGATGGCGTGAATCGAATCATTTCGCAGTGCGTGAATCGAAAGGATGCATCGAATCATTCGAGTTCGCGCATCGGAATGCATTCGATTCACGCATTCGAATGATGCATAAAGAATGACTTCGATGCGGTGATATCGGGAATGATTCGATGCGTGAATCAATAATATGCGATAAATCGAATTTATATGTGAATAAATCGAATGTTATAGTGTGATACAATCGAATGTTATATGCGAGTAAATCAACCATAAACACAAAAATCGAAATTAGACACATAACACATGCCATAGGTGTTAGGCCCTGAGAGATGAGAGAGAGAAAACTTCATTCCATAACAGCAGGGAGCGTGGTGGTACGTGACTGCGTACGCGGTATGTATGTGTGTGTGGGTGTACGTTTGTGTACACACGTGCAGGCATCCTGAAGGATCACCGTAGAATACAGTGTTGTGATACTGTCTTCTCTCTCTGCCCGCCTCTTTCTCCTCTCTCTCATCTCTCTCTCTCTCATCTCTCTTCTCGCTCTCTGCTCGCCTCTCCCTCTCTCCCTCTCTCCTCCTCTCCTCTCCGCTCTCGTCCGCTCTCTCGCTCTCATTCGGCTCTCTCTCTCTCTCTCTCGTTATCTCTCTCTCTCGGTTCGCAGCACGATGAGAAGGCGCGCTCTCTTTCTCTCGCACTCGGTTCTCTCTGTCTCTCGCCGCGCCTCCCTATCTGCTCTCTATATAATATCTTCCGTTTCTCCCTCCCTCTCTCCTCTCTCTCTCTCTCTCTTTCTTCCTCTCCTCTCCTCTCTCTCTCCTCCACTCCTCTCTCTCTCCTCTCTGTTTCTCTCCTGTTGGCTCTCCCCCTCCTCTCTCGTTCCCCGCGCTCTCGACCTCTCTTCGCGTATCTCCCTCGCATCTCCACTATCTCTCTCCTCTTCTCTCTCTCTCTCTCTCTCTCTCTCCTCGATCCTCATCTCTCTCGCATCTCTCTCTCTTCTCTCTCTCTCTCTCTCATCATCTTCTCTCTCGCATCTCCTCAGTCTCTCACCTCTGCTCTATCTCAGTCGTCCTCCTTCTCTCTCGTCTCCTCTCTCTCTCTTCCTCTCTCGTCTCTCTTCTCTCTCTCTCCTCTCTTCCCCTAGCTCTCTCTCTCTCTCCTCGCAGTGATCTCATTCTATGGCTGTCAGCCTAACACGGGAATAATGGAGATTATAAGTGAACCACAGCACGAAGCTTTAATGAATAATGTAAAACATGGCGGTGCATGCGGCACAAGGAGAGAGAGACGAGAGAGAGAGAGAGAGAGAGAGAAGATGAGGAGAGAGAAGAGAGAGAGAGAGAAAAAGAGAGAGAGAGGAGAGAGAGAGAGAGAGAGAGAGAGAGCGAGAGAGAGAGGAGAGAGAGACGAGAGAAGAGAGAGAAGAGAGAGAGAGACGGGGGGGGGAGAAAAGAGAGCGGAGCGAGAGAGTGAGAGAGGGGAGGAGATATAGCGAGCGACAGAAAGGGAGAGAGAGGGGGGAGCGAGTGAGAGAAGAGAGAGAGAGAGAGAGAGACGCGCGACGAGAGAGAGAGAGAGAGAGAGAGAGAGAGAGAGAGAGAGAGAGAGCGCGCGCGCGCACGAGAGAGAGAGGAGCCGCCTTTCCCCTTTTATCTCCCCTCTCACTATCTCTCTCCCCTCTCTCTCCACCCCTCATCTCCCCCTCCTCTCTCCCTCTGGGGTAGTCACCACTATACAGACCAACGACCGATAATGTAGCAGCGTAGCAGGAAGCATAGAAACCGCGTCTTGCTGCGGCTGAGAGGGTCTATATCCCCCAGTGTACTGCCGGAACGTACCCTGGGTACGGTCCGGTATACCGGAACGTACCCTGGTACTATCTAATATGCCGGACCGTACCTCGCATACTCCACTAACGAGTCTAGGGAGTCGCCTACACCTACTCCCTAACCCTAACCCTAACCATACCAAATAGTTATCAGGGTACGTTCCGGCAGTACCCTGGGGGACATAGACCCTATGAGCCTTGCGGCGACGCTGTGCTTGTACTGTAACGAAGCGGTGGTGTTACCCGTTTCAAAGTGGATTTGTTGTAGAGATGAAGAAGGGAAACTCCAAAGTCCGAGCAGTTGTGTATAGCAAATAGTATGCTTGCCTATTGTTTGTCAAAAGTCGCACCCCCTGCACAGAGGCACGCATCCGCGTGACCCGCACACTCTCGTCCGTCCTCCTCTTTCAACCAAGAACCTTCATTTATACGTTTCTGTACCCGCTTATACACCCGCTGCACACATGCACAACTAGACAGAGACTCACGGAGAGTGCATACCTTCGGCAGCATGTAACATGTATGTGTTACGAGCTGGCTCGCCGCTCGCTCGCTCGCTGGCTGGCTCGCTGACTCGACGCGCTAATATCGATCGTGCGAACACACTAACACACGAACATACTACACTAGAGCGATCACATAACCTTCTCCACTCCGTGGGCGGAGGTAACAACTGACTCTCAACCGTTTCTCGTCGCCATCATCCATACTACATCAAACGCGCTGCCGCCGAATAACCCATTATGCAACCACCGTCACGACATTACTAATCACCCAACTACTATTTCTAATATCTGCAAACCACACTTTACTATTGCTGTGCTACGCTGTACTACGCTTGTAATACGCGGTGCTATTGCTATTACTAAAGTAAACACTACACGCGGCACTTGGTAGGTTCGATTAAATAAACACGAGCGGTTTGATTAAATAAACACATGCCACACGCAAAGAACAACAGCGCGGCAAAGTTTACCCAGCTATTTCTCTTTCTCGCTCTCTCTTTCTCTCTCTCTCTCTCTCTCTCTCTCTCTCTCTCTCTCTCTCTCTCTCTC